CCTTTCCCTCCCAGTGACGCCATATGGAGTCATAATCTATTGACCTTATTTAACACTAACTGGAATTTCAAACCGTTCTGTAGTGCTTTGGTTACTCTTATTTAACGTGAGATGTCACTGTAAATTCGGTTTGAACGTTTATATGTGGGTGTTCTGTGTTGTATTCAGTTTGATAAAGCGTTACAAATTTATAACTTAGTGGGGCTGTTTCATCAAAATAAAAATGGTAGGTATTGATTGTATATTGCATTAAAAAAATTATCAGATGCTTTGATTAGTTTATTAAAAAGTAATAATCATGCATGGCATTCAATAACATATACCACAAATGTAATAAATAACTTTTTGTTTATGAATCCATATGGAGTCAGTGGGATTTGAGAATATATTTATTATTTTTCAATTTCTTCGTTTATGTAGAATACGTATGTGGGATTAACGGATGCTGAGGCGAAGCAACTGCTGCTGCTTTTGGAAGGAGATGAGTCAGAAGAAGAAGAGGTTGATGAGGATGATGAGCAAGTGGTAAACTATATTTTAGAGGAAGATCTACCACCCAGCGATGTTTTCGAAGATGACTTGCATGTTGATCCCGTCTTAGATTTTGATGAAGAGGATGACGTCCCTCTAGCACAGCTATTCCCTGTCCAGAATGCAAAAAAAAACGAAAGGTTCAAGATCGGTTGGTTTGGAAGAAGAGAGATTTACCGGTAATCAACTCATATTGCCAAGTTAGTTTTTCAAAGTCAAATCAAATAGGAACACCCTTAGAATATTTCCGAAAATTCTTTGATGATGACATTATAGCAAATTTAGTTCATCAGACAAACTTATATTCGACTGAAAAGACTGGAGTTTCGGTGGACACCAGTTTCAATGAAATTTGCCATTTCTTGGGGATCCATATTATTGCTGGAATAGTGCACATGCCCAGTTATCGCATGTATTGGGCTAACGAAACAAGATTCTCTCCAATAGCTGATGTTATGAGCAGAAACCGATTCGAGAAGCTTCGTTCGTGTTTTCATATCAATGACAATTCAAAAATTAAAACAAGAGATCATCCAGAATATGACAAATTGTTCAAAGTTCGCCCATTTATTGAATCCCTAAAACAAAATTTTGAAAAAATTGAACCCGAAGAGCATAATGCTGTAGATGAAATTATGATACCGTGCAAATCACATACGGCACTGAAACAATACATCAAGAGTAAACCTCACAAATGGGGTATCAAGATGTTTGCCAGAGCCGGTGCTAGCGGAATTGTTTACGATTTTGACATATATATTGGAAAAGGAACAACCCATGAACCATCTGATCTGGGAATAAGTGGAGACATTGTCGTAAAATTAGCTAAAAATATACCCAAAAACCAAAATTTTAAAATCTATACGGACAATTATTTTACTTCTTTTAATTTATTCACAACCTTGCAACAAATGGGAATACTTTCTGTAGGCACAGTAAGAACAAATCGGCTGAAGGGATTGAAATTCAAGGAAGATAAAGTAATGAAAACAGAAGGGCGAGGATCATACGAACACTTTACAGAAGAAAATAAAAAAGTTGTGGCTGTGAAATGGTTCGACAATAAAGGTGTCACCCTTTTATCTACTTATGTTGGACTTCAACCCATAGAGGAAGTGAGAAGGTGGTCTCAGACTGAAAAAAAGTATGTACATGTTCCCCGGCCAAATATTGTGAAGATTTACAATATGAATATGGGTGGGGTGGACCTAAACGACATGCTTGTTGCACTGTATCGCACCAGAATAGGAGTCAAACGATATTATTTGAAGATATTTTTCCATCTAATGGATATTTCCATAGTAAATTCATGGCTGTTATATCGTCGCGATTGCAGACTGCATGATATCACTTCCTACAAAAAGCTAGTTGTATTTAGAAGTGAAATAGGTCATGCCTTCTTACAATCATTGTCAAAGGACAGAAAACGTGTAGGTCGTCCTTCTTCTCGCGAAAGTTCACCTCAACTCCAAAGGAAGAGAACCGTCAACCCACAACCCATAGATGACGTCCGATACGATGGTCGAGAACACTGGCCTGTTCATATAGAGCCGAAACAGAGATGCAGATCTTGTCAAGCATACAGTCGACTGGCTTGCGAAAAATGTAAAATTCCGTTGTGCTTGACCAAAGATCGAAATTGTTTTAAAGCATACCATATAAAATCATAAATTATGAATTGTACAGTTTTTTCAAGAATAAATATTTTTAGTTCAAATTTCTCTTTAATCCCATTGACTCCATTTGGAGTCATAAATTGTTTTGATATTTGTAATAAAAAAAACAATGAAAAATATAATAATACTAATTTATTTATGCATTGTAAGGTATATCACGTTCATAATAATTTTTTCACGCACTAACGAAACATTAAAAAAAATTTGGGAAAGAAAGGGTTAAACACGTTTGTCTCATTGTGGAGGATTCAAATGTTATTTTCCCAAATACGTAAGTATGTTCTAATTTCAAGTGTTAGATCCACGTTTAATGACGAGTTAGATTTTTAATAATAATTGATACTTGTCCAATTATTGCACTTTCATCTGTCCGGAGTATATTGGGGATGCACATGTGGACCACACTTGATCTAAGATGGCCTACGACAAACAGCGCGTAGAGCGGAGATAGCGAAATTGGATCAAGGTGTCATTTATGTTAGCTGTTGCAGTTGCAATTAATTAATGAGTAGTTCCTCTTCAAGGGATTACAGCAATGCAATTTTTTTTAATATTATTAGCTTCACTAGCCTAATGACGCATGATCGATTTAAATGTGAACGTACCTTCTCATTCAGGACAACACGTTAATTAGCGCAGTCGATTGTGGATCCGAATACGAGTATTTTGATTCCTCAGGCCACTGTCATTTCAAGGACCAAAGTGTCTTTCCTTTGTTTCAGTGCGATTTGCTGGAAGTGTGGGAACATAGCTCTCTGCCTATACTGGCTATGTGTTCCTTAAAGGGGAGATGGTTTTACGATTGTTTTATGGGATACTTCTCCTTAGCTTATCGGCGCCATTTTGTGATAATAATTTTGCATTTCGGGGATTTTTTTTATAAAGCCGTAATTTAACGTAATCGATAACGAATTGAGGTTTCAAGACGGAGTAAATTAGAATAATACACACAAAAACCGCTCGATGATTTCCGAGCAATTTCTTGCCACGGATAGGTTTTACTCTTGTACACCCCCGTAACCCCACCCCTGAGCATTCCCGGGCAAATAAAACCAACGATTTCCGAGCAATTTTTCGGTGCATTCAATTTTTCACTCCACTGGACCTCCAGGCACTGCTTAGCGCCACGCCTAAGTAGGATCCTCCAGCAAATTAAGGATATATCTGGATTTGCCATTTACATCATAATGGGCAAAAAATATAAGTGGCGCATCTCTATTGAAGACATTTTTCTCGACGCCTACTGGTTTTGCACGGACTACAGTTTTTGTACCTGGCGCTTCTTACATGGGAAAGGGGAAGGGCCACTTCTCGCATTTTACACGGACCCGGTTTATCGTTGTTTTTGCTTAGACCATGTGACATGAGTTAAGATGCTTTTTCTCAAACCGGCGGCACCATAACGGATAAGTAACTCAGGGATAATAAAGTATAGCAGGGCATGAGATACTTAAAAAAAATTCTTATGAGTAAATTTAGAGATGCTTAGGAAAGCGTGTGAAGAAAACTTGAAGGGAATACTTAAAGATGAACATAGAAGGGAGCTGAAAGGAACAACGAATTTTAAAAGAAGGAATTTGATACGAAGTTGAAGGGAATAAGAAAAGTGCACACGAAGGGACGATTTTCACTGAGAGCATTTTTCAAAGCAAACTGAGATCATCAGGAGACGCTTAAAAAGTAACAATAACTTGAGGGAAATTTCATTGGAAATTAAAGGATACGTGCAGAAATTGAACTGGGGGAAAATGTGCAGAGAATCTTAAGAGTAAGGATGTGATGGAAAATGTTTGAGAAGAAAACGAAACGAATTTAAGAAAAATACAACCTGAGAAAAAAGATTCAGAACTAGGCAATGATTGAAAAATTGGTGAGAGATTTCATATTAATCCTACCAAAGCTAGGGGGATGGAAGAAGGGAATATTTCCAAAACCATGTGACACTACTGTCCTATGGGGTGTGGTATAAGACGACTAACCTAAGCGAGATGAACACATTTGATGAACGCTGGTAGGTCATTGTGCAAATTATTGCAATTAATATGATTGCAGGTTGTATGAGAATATGGTAGTGGACTATTTAAATTAGATACTTCCGGCGTTCCTCATGGTTCGGCCTATTGACCACAATTATTCGCGATTACCTCTCATATGAAAATTACAAATATCGTCGGTAAATTAACGGGCAGGGTTGTTACCGACGGCCATAAAATAAATCAGAGAGTGCATTGAGAAACGCATTTATTACATTTTCAAACTAATTTGTTAGGTTGTGCAATAACGTTGAAATACTATCATAAAAATAATTTTATCTAACTAATAAATAATAAAAAAAAAACTAATACGGCACCTGCTTGGTCACGCGATCTTATATCTACCCGGTAAACCTTTCAAATATTATATACACGCTACTTTATTGCTAATTAAGTACGTTTATGCTATTTATAAATAATAACAATATAAAAACCCTAATTAAATTTAAACAGAAAAATTCGTTCCCGTAATTACGCCACGGTATATCGGTCGATATTGAAATCGCTAATGACAATGATTTCGCGTATACCGCGGCTCGTCACCGGAAATGTAAAAATTCGTACCTACATTTTGTAGGGCGGCACGGCGTATACTTTCTAAAATAATTAGATATTTTATACGAAACCACTAAAACAAAAGCAATGGAAAATTGTAATTTTACAGATCGATATAAAAAGATATTATTACAAAGTGACTCATGATGTTTCAAAACTCTCCGCTAAAAAACGTTATTGTTTTCTAAACGTAACGCTAATTGAAAATCATTCCTCGATTTTTTCGTCGTCGATATCAATATTGAAATCGCCCAAATCTAGCAGTAAACAGCGATTAGCATAAGCCGAACAAACAGTTTAATGCCTGCAAATTAACTGATAAGTAAATAACAAGAATATGTACCGTTAGCATTGCGGCCATGCATGATTAACTCTTTCTCCACTATTTATTTCTTATAAACATTCTCACACAAATGATGTCTGTTTACGATTAAAAGACGAATCAAAGCGTGCGTTGGTTTTGTCTTGTATAGGAAGTATTAGACCGAAAATTTCATTCACAAAATTCTCGAAGACAAAAAAGGCAATTTAAGTTTCTTGCAATGTCTATACTTTCCAGCTACGTGCCTGCCGATTTTTTACGTATGCAAATGCTGTTTGGCGACCAAAAAAATTGCAATTTTCGCCCCTTGCGCACGGCGCGAAAACTCATTGGAAATGAAAGTGAAAACAGCTTCCTCTTGCAGAATCTCAATTAGCGCGCACCATCGCCGATGAAGGAAATTGAATTTCATCAATAATTACAAGCCTTGGGAATTTATGCGATCGATTTTCTCTTCGGGCTTAAATCTCGGCCGGATGCTCGCGAAAACAAAGTTTGATAAAAATGGCGAAGGTTGTCGAACTGACCTTGGCTCGTTGTAAATATTCCCCGAAAATTACAATGAAACAAACAACCTTGTTTGAGCGAAATTTGAATAGATATCTTTTGTTGCGAGCGCACAAAGTGAACTCGCCAAAAACCCCACGCGCACTTCCTCAAAACGGCCGAAACAATGGAGGCAATTTCCTATGCACACGTGAACTGTTAAACAATAAACCGAAGTCAAAGTGTATCTTCATCTGAAATTCCTACGAAGAAGGGGAGAACGAGGGGGATTCTCGTGCTTTACATCTGAAAACGTTTTTCATTTAGTGGTTCGCTTCTATTCACGTTTTCGTATAAATAGTCATTCAATTTTTTCGTTGCGAAAAATCGTTCTCACGCTTCATTGTGTCGTTTTTAATTATGAATCCCTCCAGAAATCACCTTTAATTAACACATAGCCAAGCAATTTTGGGAAAACCTTAAGTGGCCTATTCAACCGTGAGAATGTTCGATACCTCGAAAACATGGAAAAACTTTACCTAGAATATTTTCTTCTTCTCTAATCCTTATGCCCTTTCAGGCGCGGATTGTGGGTTTCTTGTCCTGTGTCCAATTCCTCCATTCTTTCCATTCTCTTGCCAGGATTTATTTCTCGGATGTTGCCCATCCATTTTCTTCTTCCTCTTTTACTCCTTCCTTGGATTTGCCATCTCCATTATTTTTCTTGTAAGTTGTTTCATATTTTTTTTTTAGTTATTGGCTCTTGTTCTCTATTTATCTGATTTTGTCATTTCTCACTCTGTCGCATTTGATTTTTCCAGCAATTTTTCGACGTTTCATTTCTATAGCATCAGGTGGACTAGGCCTACTGGGGATACCGCGAGAAAAAAAACGCGCCATTGCTCTACCTCATGGTGGTGTGGGAATGAGATTTCCGCCAATGGGAGTGTTTCGCGGCGTTCGTACACCGAAACTATTCGTCTGACGAAAAAATGAATATGATAACATTGAAAATTCGGATAGCGCACCTCAAGATCTATTGCTGCCAATTTACAAAACTTCCGCTAAACTTTCTTGCTAATACTGCCAGGTGATTGGACTATAGCAGATTGGTCTGCAGTTTCCTTCTTGTATATCGGAATTAAGAATAGGTTTCTTTTTCAGTCCCTCGGGATTTCTTGTTTTTCCCACACTTCTATCCAGCTCTCCCATATCTATTCTATTCCTTTTTCCCCCAGCCATTTAATCATCTCGGGTGAAATGCCGTCTTCTCCACTTGTTCCTTTTTTATATTTTGTCTTCTCTGTCGTGTTATACTCTATTCTGTAATGTTTTGAGTATTTCTTTTGTGTCCGTTAGTGTTTGTTTAATTTCTTTTATTAATTTCTTATTATCCCCCCTTAATATTTTCATTCTCTACAATCTGTTCTGTATTCTTCGGTAATCGATTCTCCAAACTCCTTCCAGGATTCTTTCTTTACTCTTTTGATTTCACTTTTCACTGTGTTTCTCCTTGGAATATATTCCTATTTGTCTTTCTGTATCTTTGTTTGTATATATTACTTTCATGCTCTTTAGTCAGCCTTTGTATGGTCGTTATTCCACCACCACACGACGTGTTTACCGTACTTTCTCTTCCCCACAAATTTTCTCTGTTCTTCAGTAGTGTATCTTGGTGGTGTGTTTCTTATTATTAAGTCTTTCCCTTTGCAGAAGTCTTTTATCCCAATTCTATTTATCGTATCCTCCTGATGTACTCCCATACATCCCATCTCTCTATTGTAGTCCTTTCCTACTTTACTGTTACAGCCT